CAAAATGGATAAAGGACCTGAATGTGAGATACAGGAAACCATCAAAACCCAGAGGAGAAAAAAGCAGGAAATACCCTCTGACCTCAGCCAGCAATTTCTCTTTACTGACACATCCCCAAAGGCAAGGGAATTGAAAGCAAAAAAATGAACTACTGGGACCTATGAAGATAAAAAGCTTCTGCTGCAAAGGAAACAACTGTAAATTAAAACTAAAGGCAAACTAACTGAATGCTGTAATATTTCTGCAAAATGAGACATATAGTCAGACAAAGGGCTAGTATCCAAATTCATAAAGAGCTCACCTCAAACTCCACACCTGAAAAACAAATAACCCAGTGAAGAAATGGGCAGAAACATGAATAGACACTTCTTAAAAGAAGAGATTAACTGGATGGCCAACAGGCACACATGAAAAGATGCTCAACGTCAGCCTCATCAGGGAAATACAAATCAAAACCACACTCAGATATCACCCCTCACGCCAGTCGAAAATAAAAATGAACAAATCAGGAGACTGTAGATGCTGGAGATGTGGAGAAACGGGAACCCTCTTGCACTATTGGTGGGAATGCAATTAGAAAGTAACCACTCTGGAAAAAACAGTGTGGAGATTCCTCAGAAAATTAAAAATAGATCTAATTATGACCCATAATAGCACTGCGCTGTGAATTTACCAAGGATACAGCAGTGCTGATGCATAGGGCACTCCCAATGTTTATATAGCAGCACTCTCAGCACAAATTATAAAGATTTAAATGTCCATCAGCTGATGAATGATAAAGAAATTGTGGTTTATATATCAATGATACGTGGCAATGAGAAAGAATGAAATATGGCCTTGTGGGTAACGTGGATGGAACTGGAGAGTGTTATGCTAGTGAAATAAGCTATACAGAGAAAGACAGATACCATATATGTTTTCACCTAGGGCATGGATCCTGAGAACAAACAGAAACCTGGGAGGAGAAGGAAAAAAAAAAAAAAAAAGAGGTTAAGAGAGCCAAAGCATACAAGAGACTCTTGAAAACTGAGAACAAACTGAGGTTGATGGGGTGGGGAGGAGGAGGGTGGGTGATGGGTATTGAGGAGGGCACCTTTTGGGATGATCACTGGGTGTTGTATGGAAACCATTTTGACAGTAAACTTCATATACTGAAATAAATAAATAATAAATAAATAAATTTCTAATAATGTAGGTGAATTTGAGAGTTTTGTTTGTAATTAGTCCTGAGGAGAAAATATAGGTTCAGGGAACATTTGTAGCCACTTCTAAATAGCTATAGAGTTTTCCTTAAGGATTACCTTTCTTTTTTAGTCTTAATCTAGAAAAATTAAAAACTTTTTTTCCTGAGAAAATTCAGTGTTCTTTTGCTTTTGTTGATTATATAAATAAATGTTAGAGGAAGTAGGGCCACTGTTTGGGGCCAGATTGTGCAGGACACTGGGTGTCCTTCAGGTAACACCTATTGGCTAGACCTCAGGGCTCCAGGGAATGTATCTGTGTTTTTACCCTTGTGTGATTCAGTGTTTTCCATGTATTGGAATGACAGCTGGTATAGATTTTGAAGCTGAAGGGAAAATAACTGAATTCTAGTTCAAGGTTCTGAGGGGAGGATAGCAGAACTCTTAAAAACAATCTGCCAGAGGTCTTTCTCTGGGCTTATTTCCTCCATAACTGTGGAAGGGTCCCAGAAGGCAACCTGCAAGATAACTGAATTCCTGGAGGTTCCTGGGAAGGAATCTTCCCGGTTTTTATGGATTCTTGCTTCTGTTGGCCAAATTGCTTTTTTCACTTGTGCAATAGATATGATTAACCTTTGGGGTTTGTGTTTTCTGTGATTACAACATGAGGAAATACATTCCTTTTGTATAATATTTTAGTGGAATGTGAATTTTAGGGATTGTGTAGCATTCTAAAAGCATACATCTCCTGATACATGTTATACAGGAGATGTATGGTCTTTATTTTGCTAATTAGGTAGCTGACCTTTTTACCATCTCACATAATTTAACAGTTAAAGGGTGATTAAGCTGTTAAAAAAAAAAGTGTTTTAAAAAAAAAAAGTGCTTGCTGACATCATCTTTCCGAGAACACTAGTATAAGTGATTTACTATAACAAGATCTTAGTTTTTCCTGTTGGCAAATGACATGTAATATTTACAGAGGTCTTGGGTTCAGTCCAGGAGAAACAGTTCAGATAAATTGATGTGTGAAACTGTAGCTATTTAACATTTTCTTTCGTATGGAGATCATGTGAACAGTTTTTTTAGTTTAAAAGTGGGGAGAAAAAGGACATTTAGTATAGATTTCCTTCAGGGGAGCAGCTTAAATTGAATGTATTCTCCAGAGTTAAACATCAAACATCTGTTCAGTTTATAATTCAGTTATATTCTTCTAACAGTTGTATGTTTAGGATACTAAGCCAGTGTTAATTCTGTTGTATGTACATGCCTTCTGTCCCTGAGAAACCTTCTCCTCCGTTTCCATCAAAATGCTACAAGGTTGGGGTGCCTGGGTGACTCTGTCCATGAAGCGTCCAACGTTTAATGTTAAGCATCCGACTTCATTGGCTCAGGTCATGATCTCACTGTTGGTGATTTCAAGCCCCGCTTTGGGCTCTCTGCTGTCAGCACAGAGCCCGCTTAGGATCTTTGTCTCCCTCTCTCTCTGCCCCATTCTGCCTCCTCTCAAAAATAAATAAACATTAAAGAAATGATACAAGGTAAAGTTTTGTAGTCCACATTTTTAAATCAGCATAATTTCTAAATCTGTGAGATTTTTACTCCCCCCCACCAAAGCATGATTTTTAAGGGCTCCATTAAAGTAGTGCATCTTTCATATATACTGTAATTTACCTGTTATTAGGCATTTTGGAAATTTGTTATTTCCCCTTTTGTGTGTGTGTGTTACTGTTAGACTGTGCTTATCTCTGGGTATATCCATTGGTTTCATTCACAGAAACGGAAACCTTGGATTTGTAAGAGTTTATGCCTATAAACCAGACATCTGAAAGTTCTCTTATAGTCTCATCTAGTGCTAACTAAGGGGCTAGCCATGGCCTGGACAGCACTTCAAAAAGGTTTTGGAAAAATAAACTTTACAAAAATTTTTAATTAAAAAAGAAATTATCTCTTCAATTTAATTTTTATATTTTGATTAATAGTGAGATTAAATTTTTTTTTCATATTTATTAGTCTCTTGTGTATTGTCCTTGTTCATCTTTTAAAATGGGGTCTCTGTCATTTTCTTATTGATTTGTAAGTACTCTTCGTATCTTAATCCTTCTTTGGTTGTATATGTTGTAAATACGTTTTCTTAATTTTGAGGCCTGCTTTTTCTTTTTTTAATTGAAGTATAGTGGACATACGATATTATACTAGCTTCAGGTGTACAATATAGTGATTCAGCATTTATATGTTTATATATAAATTTCATATGCATTGTAAAATGCTCACCACAATCAGTGTAATTACCATTTGTCACCAGAGAAAGTTTTTACAATATTATTGGCTGTATTCCCTATGCTGTACCTTTCATCCCTGTGACATTTACTTTATAACTGGAAGTTTGTAACTCTTAATCCCCGTCATCTGTTTCACTCATCTTCCCACCCTCCTTTCTCTGACAACCACCAGTTTGTTCTCAATATTTATTGATTTTATTTATTTTATTATTTTGAATTTTTGAATTTTGAATTTTTTTAATTTTTTTAATTAATTTTTTTAATTTTTTTTTTTTTTTTTAGAGAGGGAGGGAGAGAAGGGGGAGAGGGAAGGAGAAAATCTTAAGCAGGCTCCATACGCAGGGTGGAGCCCGACACAGGGCTTGATCCCATGACCTGAGCTGAAATCAAGAGTCAGATGATCAACCAACTGAGCCACCTGTGTGCCCCTGTTCTCTGTATTTATGAGTCTGTTTCTATTTTTTTTAATTTGTTAATTTTTTAGATTCCATGTATAAGTGACGTCATACAGTCTTCCTTTTTTTTTTTTTTTTTTTTTTTTTTGCCTGACTTATTTCAATTAGTGTAATACCCTCTAGGTCATCCATATTGTTGTAGATGGTGAAATTTTTACTTTTAAAAGCTAGAAATATGTCTAAACTAGATATGTTTATCTATTGTGCTATAACACAGTCTAAGTAATGAGGCGTCTTTAGTTGTCTTGTAAAGAATTAGAATATTCTGGAGCGCCTGACTGGCTCAGTCAGTACAGCATGTGTCTCAATCTCAGGGTCATGAGTTTGAGCCCCATGTTGGGCATGGGGCCTACTGAAGAAAAATTAGAATATTCTCTCTGTATTTAAATATTTTTAGCACTTAATTTAAATATAGTTAAATACTAAAAATTATTTAAATATAGTTGAATGTTCGGGCTCTGGGCGGATGGCTCAGAGCCTGGAGCCTGTTTCCGATTCTGTGTCTCCCTCTCTCTCTCTGCCCCTCCCCCGTTCATACTCCGTCTCTCTCTGTCCCAAAAATAAATAAAAACGTTGAAAAAAAAAATTAAAAAAAAATAAATATAGTTGAATGCAGATCTATTGAGGAATGAAACAAATGTAGTTACCATGGAAATCAAGTCTCCTCTATTTGAGGCCAGTTGTGGTTTTTTTGGTATTTTTGTTGTTTTTTTATTTTTGTTTTTTTTGTAGGTAGACCTATCAATTCTTAGACCCCAAGACTCTAAATGATCCTTTTACTTTTAGGAAGGTAGGTGCTTTATTCCTTTCACCATATTTTACTCTTTGGTCAGTTTTTCTAGTTACAGTAGCTAATCAAGTACAAACAAAAGCATTTCCAATACCACAGTAACAAACAAAAAGATTTCATTTTTATACTTCCAAAAAAAGGAATAATTTAGGACTTGATTCAACTCGTTTGTGGTGCTGTTATTTTTCTTTGCTTTGTTTCTTCTATCATTTTATTAATACCTAGAACATTAATATCAATAAAAATGAGAAGTTTGAAATGACAATTATGGTTTGTCATTCTCTATTTCAGATGATCACAGTCGTGTTAAACTGCAAAATGCTGAAAATGATTATATTAATGCCAGTTTAGTTGACATAGAAGAGGCGAAAAGGAGTTACATCTTAACACAGGCAAGTGATGTGGTGTCGAGCAGATGCCTGGCAATGCAGTTATTGTGGTTGGTATGCTTTGAAACATAGCTAAAAGTATGTCTTTACTTCTTTTGGAAATGAGATGCTGTTTGTTTTTTCTGTTGTTACATAGTAGAGTGTAGACATTTTAATGTTTTGCAGGTTTGTATGTGAACATGAAAGTAATTTTTAATGTTGCACATTCCAAGAAGGAAAATGTTTTAATGAAATGGTTTAGGCCAATTCTTTTCAGGCAAATTATCTTCCTTGCTTTATATTGATACAAAGCGTTTGTTAATGCTTTGTTAAGTTCTCTTCACATAACTTGTATCATAACCAGAGGCCCTTTGAAAGCCCTTCTTGACCCACTTCTCTGACATACAGTTTCAGAGAGTTTGAACATGCCTTTGATGGGTATCTGCCCTTTGTTTGGAGTGAGGGTGGTAAGACCAGGTGCCCAGAATACTGGCTAGGAAGCCAGAGACCGTAACAGTTCCCTTTGGCATTCTGCCTGATTGCTTCTTGGCACATTGGCCACACCCATATTCTAGCACTACTACTCTTCCATTCTTAGATAATAAAAATTATTTTGGTTTATCCACACCAGCTTCCCTTTATCAAATGACAGAGACTTAGTGAACAGTACTGCTATATCCCCCAGTTACTGATTTTTAAATTTTAAGTATAAGCTGTATGTTCATAATATTTGAGGTTTTTAAAAATGTAGATCAGAATAACCTATTATTGAAAGAGAAAATGGGTGGCTCGGTGGCTCATTCAGTTAAGTGTCTGACTCTTGATTTCGGCTTAGGTCATGATCTCATGGTTTATGAGAGCAAGCCCTGCATTGGGCTCTGTGCTGACAGTGCAGAGCCTGCTTGGGATTCTCTCGTCTTTTCTCTCTGTCACTCCTCTGCTTACCCCTCCTAAAAGTAAGTAAACATTAAAAACAAAACAGAGAAAACAGTTTCATATAGTAAAAAGATTAGACTATTTCTAGTTGGCAGGAAATGAAAATAATTTTACTTAAAGTAAAATGCTCCTGTATGTCAAAAAAGAAAAAGAGAAACAATCTAAGTTAAAAAAAAAAAAAAAACTG